GTACTAAAAATATTCATCCATGTCAGGAAGGTAAAGGTAAAAGATGAGCTTATTTATGGAAGTCATTTTTTTTTGTCTTTTTTTTTATAAGCAGCCTGTAATTTTTTGGTATTTTAAGTTCTGTGAATTCAGAAGCATATTACTTGTAGTCCTAGAACTACTTCAACATGTGCTTTTTAAGACCACTGTCTCCAAAGTGAAGTACACAGGAAAAGCCATTGGGATAAAGGAAGAAAATATTAGACTTTCTATTTCTACTTAGTTTTTTATTAAAACAAATTAAGCTTTATTTGTATCAATATATGGCTAGTCATTGGCATCCTCATTTGGAATATTTTAGAGGGTAGTAAGATGCTACGTGGGCCAGATCCTGAGAACGGGAAGCTGCAATGGAAAGACTGCCCTCATTGGTTCTTTTCTCATAACATATTTTGACAGATTGCATTTGATAGGTGCTCAACTCTGTGGGTTTCTTGATTGTGTTACCCAGCTTAAACTAGACTAACCTTCAGTGAACAAACAGGCTGCAAAGAAGCTACAGATTGTAGTTGATGATAATGCAAATAAACAATTAGATAAAATGGGCACTGGTATTCCTACTAAGACCTCTGTCAAGCACATCATCATGAGGTTAAGATGATTTAATCAGACCTGATAAGAAATTGGTCACAAAAAATTGAAATCATCAAGGAAGATTTTTGAAATAGAAGCCTTGACCAATTATACTGTGACTTGAGATTTTAGCTAATTATATTCTGAAACTGTCTCAATCAGCAGGATATCTAAGCATTCCAAATGTGAAGATTGGCCTCTGCAGTTTTATTTATTTATTTTTAAGATTTATTTATTTGTTTATTTATTTGTCAGAGCAAGCAAGCACAAGCAGGCAGAGTGGCAGGCAGAGGCAGCGGAAGAAGCAGGCTCCCTGCTCAACAAGGGGCCCGATGCGGGACTCGATCCCAGGACGCTGGGATCATGACCTGAGCTGAAGTCAGCCGCTTAACCGACTGAGCCATCCAGGCGTCCCTCTGCAGTTTTTTAAAAAGATGATTGTTTATTCAGTACCCAGTAGGACAGAATTTTACTAAATATAGTTAGGAATGCTTAGAAGCCACTCTTGAGGTTTCTGATTTAAAGGGGGAAAGACGTATGTGGGGAAACACTTGTTCTTTCTGCCATGGTAAAATTTGTAGAAAACAGTATGACAGTCAACCAGAACACATTCTTTCATCAGCATATACTGTTGGGTGCAGCGTAAAAATGTTGCTGATGAATTAAGTAAATCAGTAGCAGAGCAAATTGCAAATTGGAAAAATGTACAGATGATTCTGACATTACACTTGGGGAACTTGGTATATTCTATTTCAATAATGAAATGCATAAAGAACTACTTTTGTGAGCAACTGAAGATTAAAAAAAAATACCTACAAAGATACATTCTCAAGAAAGGATGACTTAATTTAAATTTTTTGGTGTGGAAAACTGAATAAAAGCCACTGATGGAGAGCTCACATGAACTGAAATTTAATTTAAAAAATAAAATTTGGGGAGTAGGGAGATGAAGTTTTAGTTGTAGCACCATGCATGAAATTCATTCACTACATTATTTCTAGAAATCTATGGTGGCAAAAGAGGTATAAAGACAGACTATAAACTGGAAAATGAGGCCTTTAACTTATAGTAAGGGCAAGGTGGGAATCATCCTTTATTTTACAAAGAAGAGATTGATTGATTATATATGTCAAAATACTTTTATAAAGCTGACCAACTTAAAAAGTGAGCCACACATTTTTCTTTTACTAAAATTCAAGTATTTCAAACATGTTGACCTTTTTGATAATGACAAATGGCAGATCTTTTGGGGAAAAATTTGTAGTTAACCTGTCCTGTCAGTGTTAAGAAAACTTTAATAAGATGTGTCAGAAAGTAGCTGACTTTTTTTTTTTTAAGAAATTCATGCAACTAAGGGTATTCTGAGAAGTTTACATCATTGTGTGATTTTGTTATTAAAATTGTCTATTACTTGTGAAAATTATCATATCTGCATAATTTAACAGCTCAGGAGCAGTTTCTAACAGAAAAATAGCATGGCAGCCCAGGTTCTGGAGCATGCTTATCAAATCCCAACTCTGACGCTTAATTATGTGATCTTGGGGTTGGCTAGTTAACCACTCAGTGCCTCCCTTTTCTCATCTGTAAAGTGGGAATAATAGCATCTGCCTCATAGAGGTTGTTTTTTTTTTTTTTTTAAAGATTCAATACTTATTTTTATTTTATTTTATTTATTTATTTGACAGAGATCACAAGTAGGCAGAGAGGCAGGCAGAGAGAGAGAGGAGGAAGCAGACTCCCTGCTGAGCAGAGAGACTGATTCAGGGCTCGATGCCAGGACCCTGAGATCATGACCTGAGCTGAAGTCAGAGACTTAACCCACTGAGCCACCCAGGCGTCCCTTACAGAGTTATTTTGAGACTTAACTGGGTTAATTAAAAAGATCTGTAACAACCACTTTTTTTTTTTTTTTAAAGTTTAAGTGTTTTTAGTGAATCCATTTGTTAAAAATGCCAGAATAAAGTAGAACCATCAGATTCAATTGCAGGAACAACTGGTGCTGAGGAAGATTAAATTTTACTAGTTAAAATTCCACAAAAATATTTGCCTACATAAAAGATGAGGTGGAAGAATTAATGGCATGTTTTAGAAAGCATGGCCTTCATTTAAATGGATCTCTGTACCTTTGTCAGGTTTGAGGTTTAAGGTATTAAACGCATGAATTTAGAAGATTATTAAAAAATAATGAAGCGGGGGCACTTCATAAACTTAACTTTAATTAGTTCCTGTAGGTCTGTACTGTCCAATGTAGTAACTACTTTCATGGATGGCTATTTAGCACTCTTTGTTATGCTGTCTTACCAATAGTTTTTTATATTAATTACATTTTGAAATAGTATTTTGAAAGTGTTGATTTACATATATTGTTAAAATTAATGTTACCTATTTCTTTTAGCTTTTTAACCTGTGTGCTAGAAAATTTTAAATTACAAGCATGACTTGCAGTATATTTCTGTTGGACAGTGCTGCTATAGACCAGGGGTTGGCAAACTCTGGCTCCCGAAATCCAGCCAGGTACCTATTTTTGTAAATAAAATTTTGTTGGAACACAGTTGTACCTATTCGATTATATATTGTATATGGCTACTTCTGTGCTATAGCAGCAGAGTTTCTCAATTGCTACATGTAGAAATTGTCTATGTCTATGCTACATGTAGAAATCAGTCTATGCCTTGCATAGACTAAAATATTTACTGTTTGATCCTTTATAGAAAAAGTTTGCTGACCTCTACTTTAGGCTGTAATTAACAAGTGCTCCATGTATTGTGTTTACTTAAGAGTGGCTGTGAGAGGGGCGCCTGGGTGGCTCAGTGGGTTAAGCCGCTGCCTTCGGCTCAGGTCGTGATCTCAGGGTCCTGGGATCAAGTCCCGCATCAGGCTCTCTGCTCAGCAGGGAGCCTGCTTCCCTCTCTCTCTCTCTGCCTGCCTCTCTGCCTACTTGTGATCTCTCTCTGTCAAATAAACAAATAAAATCTTAAAAAAAAAAAGAAAAAAAGAGTGGCTGTAAGAGACAGACAGGAAGATGACTGCTGGTGATTACAGGTGGGAAGAAGGTAGTGGAGAGTGACTAATAATAATAGGTACCAGGTTTCTTTTTCGGGATGATGAAAGCATTCTGGAATTAGATAATGATGATAATTGTACAACCTCAAATATACTAAAAACCACTAAATTGTATGCTTAAGGAGGATAAATACTGTATGTAGATGATATCTCAATTTTTATAAAGTGGATATGAGCCTGGTTTGGTAGGTAAAATAAAGCAGTACCCGAGATGTGTTACACGTTCATGAGACCATGCCAAGAAACAGGTACAAATCAACTATGGGAAATAAAAAACATGGTTTTGAATAGTTTATTATATACCCCTGTTGTCAAAGAATTTTTAATCACTGTTAAGAGCTGTCATTTATTGCTTCATCAGACTATCATTTACTGCTTTACCCATGAAAAAGACTTACTATCTAGATACAATCTTTTTTGGTGGTAAACTTAACTTCCAGATAGTGTACAATAATACATATATGTAGCCAGTCTCAACAAATAGTTAAATGAGTGAATGCAAATTATAAATAAAGTCACTATTTCATGAATGTTAGTATTCTTCTCGAAGCACTAATCTAAGTATAGAAATCATGGCTTTATAAAGTTTTAATGAGCTCTCGAGAGGAGAAAATATTAGCAGAAGGGAATTGGAAGGCTATTTCAAAATATCTGTATCTTGTGTGTAAAGGTATTTTCTCTAATGAATTACTAACCATCTACCACATGCAAATCCTAGGTATTTTCACATTGCTCTGAAACCGACAAGATACTATCTGCTTTGTACAGTTGACCCACTAATTTGCTATACAATAGGGTATTCCAACAATGTGCTTTATGAAATCCAAAAACCAATAATCAGTGCATCATTTTCTTTCTAAACATTAACTGTAGGTCTTTATTTTATTGCTCTGAACATATTGTATTATAGTACCTTACTTATAATGTAAGTTAGGGCAGCATGTATCTAAGGGCACAGACTTTGGAGCCAGATAGACCTATTTCCTAATTTGATGCTACCATTTACTAACTCTTAATGTGACCCTAGACACCTATTTAATATTTAACAGCTCTAAGTCTCCATTTCCTCATCTCTAAAATGGGAATAATACCTTCTGTAGTGAGTTTTTTTAGGGAATGAAGAAAATGAGTGCGAGGTACTTAGCATAGAGTAACCACTCAATAAATGGTAACCTCATATTATTATTGCCATTTAATGTTAAGTTTTTTAACCAAATATTAAATTTTTTAGTTGTCAGCATCATACATTTCATTATGTATCTTACTGACTCCTACCTTTTCAAAAACATAATGAAGTATTAAGTAACATTCTATTTTACTTTCAGTCAAAGAAAAATAAGAAGAAATCAAAGTCAGATGCTAAAGCAGTGCAAAACAGTTCACGCCATGATGGAAAGGAAGTTGATGAAGGTACTTGAGCAAGTGAAAGGACTATAGAAAAATTTTTAATCCTTTTTTACCATGGTACATTATATAAGAGCTGCATTTGTATCGCTTAATCTTGTATCTAGCTTTTCTCTTAATAATTACAGATTTTAATGTACAGATCTGTGACATTGTTAGAAAACACTTTTTTTTTTTTAAATCTAAATTACTTAAGAATCTAATAGTGCTTTTCCTGAAGGGAACCACCTTGAGATTTAAGGTCTAGCTCAGTGTCTTGGGTAGTTATTTTGTCTTTGTTTCTTTGATTTGGACCTTTCCCTGCTCTTGTTTTTAAATACACTATCCCTAGGAAGCCCTTTATTGTCATCACCAAATAAACCCACTTATTAGTAATTATTTATAACACTCTCCGTTCTCTCCAGCAGGATAAAAAGATACACAGAATGACTTACATTTCTCATTTTTCCTAAATCATAGATGACAGTTGATAAAAATTACCAGAATAAATAATAATGGCAGTTAGCTGCCTAAAACAACATATTGGGACTAGAATAAATGCTTAGGATAAATTAATATAATCAGTACTCTGGGGTTTTAGTTTACTCTCTAAATTTATCATGATATCTTATGTGCCCTGCCCCATTTCCCCCCTCAAAACTACAACTTTTTGTCTTCCCCTTTACTGAATAACACTTTTTTTTCTGGGGCTATGTCAGGAGCCTGGGAAACTAAAATTAGTCACAGAGAGAAACGACAGCAGCGTAAACGTGATAAGGTGCAGACTGATTCTGGTTCATTGGATTCAACTATCCCTGGGATAGAAAATACCATCACAGTTACCACCGAGCAACTTACAACTGCATCATTTCCTGTTGGTTCCAAGAAGAATAAAGGTATATTGGTGGAACATAAGAGTCATACATCAAATCCAGCTCCTTTTAATCAGATGTACAAAATATCATTCTGTCAAAATTTGACTATTTTGAACTGCTTACATCACTGTGCTGATACACCCTTCTTCATGAGAGCACCGTGGACCACATACTGGTTTACCTGATAACTAGCAGTGTTACCTGTTCCGTACTGCCCAATGAATGGCCTGCTGAATGAAAATTGCCTTTCTGCCTTGAGTCACATGAGAAAATGATGTTGCCTTTTTTTTCTTGTGTGCGTTGCTTCGCCCCAGCTCTTTTACATCTCCGTTTCTTTTAGTGGACAAGACATTTATTAAATAAAATTATTTGTCCCCAATCCTGCATGTTGGATGCTTTCATTCCAAGATGAAGCAAGCATGTTCTGGATAGTGCAGGCTCTATCTGGACTTCTTATCACCCTGACTTTTTGAGAATGCCGTAGGTGTTTGATAAAGCTGGACTGGAACTTGAGAGGTTGTTGAGCTAATGTTCTTCCCAAGTATTTCAAGTGCTCACACTATGCAATACTGATGGCTTCTTAGCTCAAGCTCTTTACATTGCCATCTGCAGAGTGATACTGTTCAACTTGGGCATTGACTTTTCTTCCTTCACCTTTTTATTAATTGCCTCCTCACCCCGCATTTGTCTCCAGGCCACTTTCGTAGCCTTGTTATCTTTTCCTTTTTTGCTTGAAGACTTGCTGGAATTTATTGCTTTGATATAGCAATGACTTCTGTTTATGCTTTTTCACTGTTAAACATATTAGCCATGCTTTAGTGCTTCTTTCTGTTGGTGACCCTTTTTCACTGTCTTGTGCATGCCTTCCTTGCTAGGACAATCCTGTGTTGAGCTGGTTTTTTGATACGTTGTAATCATTAAATGCTTTTTAGTGTCAGAGAAATGGTATCTTTGTTACAGTATGTTTTTGTATCCCTTGCCTTACCCCTTGCCGTATTTCCTAAGTCCCGGTCCCAAATACTGGCAGCGTTCTTGTTAAGTTGGATGTGTTTGCTTCCAGGATTATTGAAAAGGCAGCTGGCATTGTTGAGAGGTGGCAAAGTTGAATCCAATTACAAAGCCCCAGTTCTCCAGTTCCTATTCAAAAGAATCTCATAAATATTGCAGAACAGCAGACTCCATATATACTTGAATGATTTTCCAGGTCCTATATTGCCATTTTAGTTGACTAAGAATATGGTAACTACAGAACTCAGTTCCTTAAGGACATGTCCAGTATGTTGTGAGTAACACTCTCTTCCAATATAAGAATTTAGTACTTGAAGAAATAATTTCTTAAAAATAATAAGTGAAAATAAATTTGTATGTTAACTCCTAATTTAATGTGCATAGTGGCCTATTTAGTATTAAATAAATTTTATTTCTATTTCAACCAGGTGATTCTCATCTAAATGTTCAAGTTAGCAACTTTAAGTCTGGAAAAGGAGATTCTACACTTCAGGGTGAGAGAAATTACATGTAACTTAAATTGAAGGCCCATCAGAATAGAAACTTATATACATGTCTCTTTCCTCACATGAATGATACAGAAGGAAAAAAAGGCTTAGAAATGATTTTTAATTACTAAAGTAACATAATCACAATCCAGAGATTTTGGAAAATGGATAAAAAGAAAAATCATTCCCACTTCTAACAGTCTTTGGTATGTTCTAGTTGTTTCTCCCTCTCCCCATATGTAAAAACATTTTTTTAGTAATAGTTTATATGTGATTTTTTGCTTGCATTGTGTAAGCCAAAAGAGAAAAGAAAGTTTTGGGGTGGGGGAGGACTTGGTTTCAATATAGGCATTTATGGGATAAAATATTTTACCCCTGTTTATTAAGAAAAAAAAATCTTAAACCTATAATTGTTCAAATTGCATCCTTAACAATATCAAATATTTTGCAATAAATGGACTACAGTCTGAAGTTATACCATGCTTCACAATTAGAAAATATATTTTATTTACTCATTTATGGTAAAGATTGAATCAAGTAGAGTGGTATACCTTACCTAAAAACTAAAAGTGTGGTAGTAAAATATAAACTCGGAAATGAAAAAGCACCTTCTTGTTTCAGGCTTGTTTTAATCCCGTCAGCTTCCTTTCATTCCCATGGTTCTCAATCCTGGCTACACATTATAGTCATCTAGGAAGCTTTGAAAAACGACACACACACATACATACGTGTACCAGCATACAAATACTCTGATTTTATTTTATTTTATTTTTATTTTCTTAAATAATCTCTGTGCCCAACATGGGTCTTGAACTCACAACCCCAAGATTAAGAGTTACATGCTCTACCGACTTGAGCCAGCCAAGCACCCTTAGAGCTCTGATTGTAATTAGTCTGGGCTGAGGCTCCAGTGTCTACTTTTAAGAAGTTTTTCAGTTGATTTTAATGTGCAGCCAGGTTTCAGAATCACTGCCTTATACTTCGTGTGTGTGTGTATACGTGTGTGTATAAATATTTAAGAAAAGAACATGTAACTAAGGAGAAGTGTTCATATTTTTAGTGGGTGAGTATTCTGAGTACAGCAGAATATGTGCTGTTTTCCTGTTTGCTCTTTTGTACTTTCTTTGAGCAAGTCATTCTGCTGTTGAAAGCATCAGTAATATATAAAGTTCAAGCCTACTCTTAGTTTTTTAAATTAGAAGTCATTCATGGTGGTCATGTCACTTTTAAGAGTTTTCATTTTTATTTTTAAAGCTCAAGCTGTTTAGAGGACAGTAGGGGATAAAAGGAGTGATAAATATAAACCAGGCAATCAGAGAAATTTGAAAATATCCCCGTTTTATCAGTTTTTAACCTTGTTTTCTTTTCTTTAAGTTTCTTCAGGATTGAACGAAAACCTCACTGTAAATGGAGGAGGCTGGAATGAAAAGTCTGTGAAACTCTCCTCACAGATCAGTGCAGGTGAGGAGAAGTGGAACTCTGTTTCGCCTGCCTCTGCAGGCAAGAGGAAAAGTGAGCCGTCTGCCTGGGGCCAAGACACTGCAGATGCTAATGCAAATGGAAAAGACTGGGGAAGGAGTTGGAGTGACCGTTCAATATTTTCTGGCATTGGTAAGAAGTGTTGGAAAATTTTAAGTTCATTTACAGTTGCTTCTTTCTGGTACATTTTGAATTTTTGAGGAATGAAAAAAAAAACCCATGAGTGGAAAATAGGAGTAAAGCTATACAGAGCTAATAGTAATAACTAACTCATTCAAATCCTTCACATAGAGCAAAGTGGGAATTTAAAAAGTCAGTAGTAGCTTTACTTTACTTATTGTTTTGACATACTTTTTATCTGATTATCATCTGATTATCAGTATAGCTAAGGGGTGTAATTGTGTGTTTTTGGTGATGTTATAAATGTAATGTGTGAGCAGAATTTTTAATTAATTTCAACAGTTCTTCTGTTGAGTTGAAATAAGAATAATAAAAGTAGTTTACAGCATCCACTTTTATACTTTTCACAGTCTGCAAAATGCCTATTTATAATTAATTTTTCCTCTTTGGTTTTAAAGATACAGACAGTAATTGAGAAGCTTATTCTTGTTGAAAGCCATCAGATAATAAGCAACTTAAATTCCAGTGTGTGTGTGTGTGTGTGTGTTATAGAAAAGTCCATGTTTAATATGGAAAACCACTTAAAGAGAAGGAAAACCCCACTGTTCTCACACCACCCAATGACAACCACTGTTTTTTTATTTTTTAATGGTCTTTTTTCCCTGTGTAGTTTTTTGGGTTTTGTTTTGTTTTGTTTTGTTTTGTTTTACATAATCGAAAATGGATATGCAATTTTATGTCCCCCACACACACACACTTAGTATAGTAACATAAACATTTTCCTATTTGTATTTTTATTTGAAAGCCCTATAATATACTGTATAAGCATAGCGTATAAATTATTCAGCTATTCCCATATTATAAAAAAAAAATTTTCTGTTTTTTAGCCATTGTAAATAACATTGAATTGACTATATTTTGGGTTATTTCTTTAGCATAGAGTCTTGGGAGTGATGTTACTGGGTTTAAGGGACTATAAACACAGTGCTCTATGACATGTTGTCAAAGTGTTTTCTAAGAGAGTAGTTCTAATTTAGCATCAATTTAGTGATGCTAAATTGTCAGCGTCCATATGAGTGCCGTTGATATGTGCTGACCAAGACTGGGTATTCTTATTTAAAAAATCTTCTCTAACTTGATACAAAATACATAAATTGTTCTGATTAACTTTTTAAAATCAGTAATGAGGTTGAATATTTTTCGCAACTTTCTCGATCATTTCTGTTTTATGAATTGTCTATTCACGTTCTTCGCCCATTTGTCTAACGGCCTCTTGTTTGTTGTTGTTGTTTTAATCAAGTTGTAATTCCTTGTACATTAAATGTACACTTGTTTTCTGTTGTGCTTGTTGCAAATACTTTTGTTTTAGTTCTTTTGTTTGGGAGAGCAATAGACACTACGGAGTTTTTAGTGGTTAAGTGGAAAAAAACTTTATTCCAGCATTATTTGCTTTTCCCGTCACTTTTAAGTCTAAGAAGACTCATGTTGACTATTGTCCCCAGAAAGCCAACTCTAGATCTACTGACCGTTATTTTTAAGCTTGTTCTTCCTTGGAATGTCCAGAAATTGTGTGGAAATACCAAAATTTGTTTGGAAGAAGACAGTCCCTAATTCCCAGCCTCATTTTCCATAGTGAAGAAAGCAGAAATGTCTGTGCTTTAAAGCACCTTTTCATATTTAACAAAAGATCATCAGATTTTTATCAAGTAATGTTAAAAACTATGGCCTTTTCAGATATTTGCAATTTACTTATAAAAGCTATGTAGCATTTTCCTAATTAGGACATAAATTAGATGGTATTTGCTTAGTGGTTGCTACAGATAAAATTAAGCAGTAGGTTAGAGTTCCTGCCTGGGTGGATTTGTACCTTTGTTGAAACTGAAAGGGAACTATATTAAATTGGGTTTATAGTGAATCTCTAAGAAAAGACTGGTGTGACTGGTCTCATGGATATATATATTGCTTAAAATACTCATTTATGTAAGTAAAAAAGATCTTGAAAATGTTGAAGAAATAGTATAATATAGTGGAATGAGTGTGGACTAGTAGAAATGGACCTATTTGGAATGAATCCCTGTTTTCCCACATAATAACTTTTATGGAAATCAGGCTTAGTTTTTTAACCTGTATGAACCTCCTATTTTAATAGTTGTGAGGATTGGCTATAATGAATATCAAGTACCAAGTGCAGTGCCGGGCTCCAAGTAGTAGCATAATTATGGTAAATAATAAGGTAGCTTGCTAAAGTGGAGAAAGACATAGGTTTTGGAAATCAGCTTAAGTTCCAGTCATGGGTCAGCTGTTTTTTGGCTGTCAGAAAGTCCCTTAACTACTCTGAAATTGTGCCTAGCAGGCTTACACTAAGGATTAGTGTTTGGTATGAAGAGCTTGGCCTATAATAGACATCCAATAAATAGAAACTATTGCTGTATTGTCCTAATTTCTAAGGTTATCTTTAAATATTATTATCACAGTTTAAATCTGTACGTATCTTTCAACTTTTCTTTTGCAAATTGAAGGTTCCAAGTGACGTTCTTTATTTTAACAGCTGCTTGGTCTAGTGTGGATAGGGGAATGAATACCTCTGAACAGAATTCTTCTTTTGCATCTCTCACACTTAACTCTGCTGTTTCTGGTATGTGAAAACAGTCTTTCATTTAGTTAACAAAAGAACTTCTGTTTAAATTCTTTTTAGCTCATGCTATTTGAAAAATAGTCAAGTACTGCTATCAACATAAATAATATATAAAGTAGCAGAGGCCTTAATAAAAGGGAAGAAAAGAAGACCTAAATTCCTAACTATAGGTGGCTCGGTTCCTTTCTCTCGTGAAGATAGTTAGATTCTGTGGCCTGACATAACTGAAAGTTCCTTGGCACACAGACAAATACAGATAGAAGGCCTTCCTTTCCGGCTCATGATACTTTCCTGTTACTAGCGTATTTCTACCATACTTCTGCTTGCAATTTCTGTTTGCCTTTACTCATCATGAGTTTATACGTAAGCCTTTTAGGTTATATAGACCCTCACATAATAACTCTACTTAGAGTATCTGTTGATTTAGAAAATATAGTGTTATTAATAAACTGTTATCATTTCAGCATTACTTAAATGGAGGTGCCTTTTATTAATCATAAAGAAGTCCAATGTACTTAACAAATACTACATAAATGTGGGAGGTGTTTAGCTTGAAACCTTTTGTTTACTGTGGAATTCATGGACCCAGTTTACTAATTAGGTAGCTCCACAGTGTCTGAAGTCACTAGAATGAGAGGTCAGCAGACTTTTTCTCTAAGGGCACAGTAATAAGTATTTTAGGTTTTGTGGGCCCTGCTATCTCTGCAGAACTACTTAGTTCTGATACTATAGCCGGAAGGCAGCCAGAGAGAATACATAAACAGATGGCTATGTCTGGTTTTGAAATACTATTCTTTTGATTTTTTTTAAAGTCATTTGTAAATATAAAAACTGATCTTGGCTCATGGGTCACACAAAAAGGGAGTGTTTGCATTTGGCATTTGCATTTGGCCTGTGGGCCAACCCCTGCTCTCATAGACTACATTTCATTTCCAGAGATAGGAATTAATTGCCTTTCATTTGATGACTTGGCACAGCACAGATGCTCTTCTCTTCATATATTCAGGGAAAGAGAAAGCAGCATGGGCAATAGTGTTACTGTGGTGCTTATAGGCAGCTAATATGCTAATAATACATGAGTTTATAGGCTTATTCTATTTGTTTATATTTAAAAATATGTAACTATTTTAAGTGTGTAACAAGCCATTATATTAGTGGAAGGCTGGTAAGATCATCTTTAACCAGGTGAAAACGTGTAAGTTAGGAAGGACTTTTATAAGAGGGGATAATTGTATATAAGTCTTTTATGTTAACAGGTTTTCTTAACCATTTCTTTGTATCAGTGGCTCTGAATCCAAAGTGAGTATCAGAGTCTCCCAAGGATTCTAGTACATGTGGGAATTCTGATTCAGAAGGTCTCGGGTATAAGTATCCCTGATGGAGAATCCCTGCTTTTATGTTTGCATTCTAAAATGAATTTATAGCTGTAGAACAAAGATTTTTGACCTGGTACCCATGAATTTCTGTGCCCCCAAAATTATCTGCAAAATTTTGTGTGAGTTCTGGACAGTAGTCCATCACAGCTTTCATCAGATTCTAAAGACTGTGTGACCCCATACTCACCCCACCTCCTCCCCAAAAATGAAGACAGAAGGAACTTAGAAGATACTTAGAAGATAATAGTCTCTTCTCTTTAAGTACACCTGAACTTAACTTGATCTCTAAACCACCAGCTTCCCTTCCCTCTGTCACCTCTCTAAATACTCATGTTTCTTTAACTTTTTCTTAGGCAGAACGTTCCCAACAAACCCAGGTATTTTCTAGCTCTCTCTTTTAAGGTTCTCTCAGGTTATAGGCATATCCCGAAACATTCAGGATTTCTTTTATGCTTATTTTTCATTAAGAACAAAATAAAAGAACTTTTTTTTCACCTTGAAATTTGTAGATTATCAGTTTAAAATAGGTATTATAAAAGACAAAATCTAGTGGATTGATACTAAGGACAATATATACTGTCCAACCAGTTAATTCAATCAAGTGATTATCATGCTTAACCTGAAATTACCCTCGATTCTACTTTTCCTTAACTCTTTTTCTAATGTCTGAATTTTTCCTTTTAGGGGAAAAAAAATAATTTAAACTCCGTATGCAAAGTATAGAACTATTGTTATGAAGCATCATTAGAAAATTCCATTTTTAATTTTATTGCATTCGTTTTCATTTAAGGGTCTACTGCTGAGCCAGTTTCTCATTCTACCACTTCTGATTATCAGTGGGATGTTAGCCGTAATCAACCCTATATCGATGATGAATGGTCTGGGTTAAGTATGTCCTTTTAAAATTATGTTTTTGTTTTTGTTTTTTCAGAATTTTCTTTCTAGCACCCTAAATTCATGCTTTATGTTTTAATTTTAATCCTAATTTTCACCTCTTAGGCCATAGTAATATAATTTAATACTAAATGTGTATACTACTTGTAAACTGATGATTGAATATCTGTAGAATTTAAATTTATACTTTTTGTGATTGAGGCAATATTTAAACATGATGTTTTCTTATAGTTGCTCTGTAGTTTTTATTTTAAATATTTTTGTTTTAAATGAATGTTCTGTTTCTCCTCTTAGTTTTAGTCTAATAGAATGAATATAATATATAGGAATGGCTTTCAGTTTGTGAGATATGCAAGTTTCGTATTATAAAATCATTTTCTTAGCCTGATTCCCACTGGAAGCTTAGGAAGGTTAAAGACAAGAGTTAGTTTAAAAAAAAAAAAAAAAAAAAAAGAGGAAGAGAAAAGAATATGGTTTTTATGTTCAGAGAACTTAACGCCATTTTCACCTAAAAAAAAAAAAAAAGAAAATCTAATAAGATTTTTTTCCCCTGCAACTTCAAACCTCAAAATATACTCCTTTCTCAGAATTTTTACAGCCATCCTTTTATTTATTTAGCATTTATTTGTTACCTTGTGGACTTCTCCACTATTTGGCCAGTGGCGGGGGGGGGATTCTTGAAGAATATCTTGTGTTTCTTCAAGTAGAGTTGAAATGAAACTCTCTAAAACTTGGAACTTCCCATTACTCCTGATGCCTTGGTACCTAGTGCAGTGCTTTATAAAACAGAGGTGTTCAGTAGTAATAATGATAAGAAAAGCAAATAGCTGACTGTACCAGGCACTGGTCTAAGTCTTGTGCATTTTATTAGCTTATTTTAATGCTTACAGCAGTTCTACAAGGTATCTGTTTTTTCCCCACACTTTCCAGATGAAGAAACTGAGGCAAAGGAAACTTACCTAACCCACACACAGCTAGCTAAGTGGAGGAAATGGTATCAGACTTGGGTAGTCTTGACACCAGAGTTCATGCTCTTAAAATCACCACATGGTCCAGCCTTAGTGATGATTGTAATCACGGAGGTAAACTTGCAATGCAGTACAAAAAAGTAGTCTAGACTACTTAGTCTCTATACATTCACTAAAGCACAATTCTTGCAGATTAAAGGAAGTGGGGTGGAAAGGGTAGATGAGGCCGTAAAAATCCTTGAATTGCTGGCTAAAGATTAGGGAAGTGGGGTTGGCATGCTACCTGGGAAGGTATTTCCTACTTCTAGTCCTTAATTTAATACATAGTACCTTGTATGGCTTGGACTTCAGCACTTACCTTGGATTCTGGATAATTGAGCTGTAAGATGGAGCAAATAATCTGTCCTATCTACTTCTGTAGATCGTTGTGAGGTTTTAATGTGGTAATGAATGAACATCAAAGCTTTTTGCAAATTATACAGTACCATGTAAATCCCTAAGGTATTACAGGATGTGAAGATAACGATTTTGGGGAAAAAAAGTCTCTGTACTTCGGGAAGAATGATCAGCTCTGTGCAGAATAGAATTGAAGAGCAGTTACAGGAATGCTAGAGAAGAGCAGCGAGGCAACTGGGGGCTGAGGTGGAGGACATCCAAGCCATCAGGGCTCTAGGTTTCCCTGCCTGCACAGAGTAACTCCACTTTTATCCATTTTAGAGTTCTTATGACATGGAAAACACAACTGGCTGCTAAGATAAAAGACTGAAGAAAAAGCATGTATCCACAGGACACTATTGCAAGTTAAAAGTATCAGAAACACCATCTTTCAGTGGTTAGGCTGTTGGAAGTCTTTTAATTCCAAAGTCTCTCTTTAACCTCATTTTTCTCTGTGAATTTTATTTTTTGTGTCTTTAATGTGCTTAATTTTGATACTCCATGAACTTAATTATTCCTTTTAAATTTACAAGATGCGTGACTCGGTATTTGAGATAACTAATCCACAGAGTATGTATATGTGTGTGTGTGAATGTACACACATACGCTAGCTTTACATTTAATAGTGTGATCTGATTAAGATACGGACTGTCTGGTTTGAGGCATAAACATCATTACCTGACAAAAAGGCATTGAATTTACCCAAATGCTTGAATATAAAGTTAAGATTCTAAACTACAGAAGATAACTTTTTTTTTTTAAAGATTTTATTTATTTATTTGACAGACAGAGATCACAAGTAGGCAGAGAAGCAGGCAGAGAGAGAGGAGGAAGCAGGTTCCCCGCTGAGCAGAGAGCCCGATGCGGGGCTCGATCCCAGGACCCTGGGATCATGACCTGAGCCGAAAGCAGAGGCTTTAACCCACTGAGCCACCCAGGCGCCCCAGATAACTTTTTTTTTTAAATTCATTTTTTAAGATTTTATTTATTTATTTGACGGAGAGATAGAGAGCACAAGTAGGCAGAGCGGCAGGCAGAGGGAGAGGAAGAAGCAGGCTCTCCACCGAGCAGGGAGCCCGACGGGCTTGATCCCAGAACCCTGGGATCATGACCTGAGCCAAAGGCAGCCGCTTAACCGACTGACCCACCCAGATGCCCCAAGATAACAGTTTTTTTAAAGAGAATGTTGATCTTATTAGTTGTCTTGATCTTTGTAAAGGAACAACATCATCATAACCCTTGTAACAAGTCCGATTTTGATAGGATTTTGTTTTTGTTGGCACACCAAAGCGAATGAATTTGCTGCAGCATAGTTAAGGGGTTGAGAGCAAGAGTTTTGAGGACCAACTGCTTGGGTTTGAATACTTAGCCTTTACCCTTAGGTACGTAGCATGGTCATTGTATGCTTCAGTTTCATCATTTGTAAAAATAGTTCTTCTCCCATAGCTGTGAGAGAATTAAATGATAAAGTATATATATAGCACCTAGAACACTGCCTGATTATACAGTAAATGTTCAATCAGTACTATGTTGCTATTGATATTCTTCTGGGGCAACATTTGTCTACTCAGTGGAGTTCATTAGTATTGTCTGTTTGAACACTGGAGTCTTTTTTTTTTTTTTTTAAGATTTTATTTATTTATTTGACAGAGATCACAAGCAGGCAGAGAGGCAGGCAGAGAGAGAGGAGGAAGCAGGCTCCCCGCTGAGCAGAGAGCCCGATGCGGGGCTCGATCCTAGGACCCTGAGATCATGACCTGAGCCGAAGGCAGCAGCTTAACCCACTGAGCCACCCAGGCGCCCTGGAGTCTTTCTAACATAATTGTTTTGTTGAATTAAAGTTAATACTAAAATAAGTTCTGACCAAAAACGACTGACAGCCATTTTTTTTTAACTGAGATAAAATAAGTGATTAGCTATGAGATGCTTAAACCTAAAACATTATTCAAGCAAATTAAATAGATAAGTCCCTTACCATTTTGAAAAGACACTAATACAGCTATTTGAAAAGATATCTGCAAACCAATGGGAGAATTTTGAGAAATGAGAAGTTACTCTGTTTATAAATGGAGAAAACTATCCAGTGAATTAAACTATACTGCATAGTTTCCTTAAAGGAAAGTTTAGTAGCATATTAGGCCCGTGAATCTTAAGAATTATGTGTTTAGAAGTCTCCTGGTGACAACTTTTATGTTTAGGTGATCTCTTGATTTATAAAGTAGTTTTATTTGATCCCAATTAATAAAAAAACGAACAAACCTGAAATCAATAAACTTGGAAAAAAATCACCGTAAACCTTTATAAAGCCAATAGAGATTTGTGCTTCTCGTAATGTTCTTATAGAAGTTAAACCATAGGTTGCTGTCATTCCCCAACCTTTTTGGTTATATAAGCCTTTAAAAAAGTAATGTTATGAAATACTTTACTAGATATTTACCTGTTATCCCTCCACACCACCATATTTATTAAGAAAATAGTTTTATGTTAGTATATTGCCCACCCACTTATCTGAACTTTTTTTCTTATAAAAGAAAATAAAGTGTCGTTTCTGGCCAGCAGTCTTAGAGACCTGGCTTATGGAGAGCAGTTTTCCAAATCTGCATTTCTTATTTGTAAGGTTTAAACAAAACCTGTGACATTCAGGTCTCCTAACAGTATTCTTAAAGAATGCTTACTCTAAGATGAGCAGTTGGTTCCAGATGTCTACTAGATGTCTCTTTACTTGTAAAAATGATTTCTGCAGTACGACACACCAAATGTATCTTACTGAGAGATTTATTGGGGTTGTAAGAAATAAATTTTTAGGGGTGCCTGGGTGGCTCAGTCAAGCTTCTGCCTTTGGCTTGAATGATGATCCTAGGGTTCTAGGGTTGAGCCCCATGTTGGGCTCCCTGCTCTGCGGGAAGCCTGCTTCTCCCTCTTCCACTCCCCCTGCTGTGTTCCCTCTCTCACTGTGTCTTTCTCTGTCAAATAAAAATATGAAATCTTAAAAAAAAAAAAAAAGAATGAAAGAAAAAGAAATTCTTAGTTGTGTATGCCTGGTAGCTTAGAAACTGGCTTTCTCTTGTTAATGTCATCAGTGCTACATAAACGCAGCACCTACCGTTCATTGAGCGCGTACTGCATTGCTAAAGCACTGCTTTAGGTGTATCTAGTATAATCTTCTCAGCCATCCTGTAGAGTTAGTGTATAACCTACTAAGATAATGAAATTTGACCCATATCACATAGTTACAAAGTGGTAGATCAATATTCAAATATAGATCTGGTCAACTCCAAGGTCCATGCTCTTAACCCCTGTGTTAATACTGTGTAGCTGTGTAGTGCTGCCTGTGCATTCCTGCTCATGGTAGTAAAATTAGGAAGGGACTTCCTTTATTGTAACATACTTCATGGTTGTCCTCACTTGTTCCATGTTTTTCCTCCACTAGACTATCAATTCTTATGTTTTCAGTCTCTCTCCATCCTCTACTGGTTTAGCTCCTCTTCTCCCTTTCTATACCCCTGTGACAGAAAGTCTCACTCTGTATGTAAATGTCTCTTGTACTTACCTATCTTCATCTCTGAATAGATAAGACCAGGAGCTCCATGTTGGGGGCAGGGGTTGGTGAGGGAGTATATTGTACTAATTTTTTTATGTCTAGTACCTACCCAGCTCAAGTTCTAGTATATATTAAGTGCTTAATAAGGTGAAATTTCTGTAATTCCACTATTAAGATATATCTCTTGTTACTATATTATTTTCTTCAAACTCTTTCTCATATAAATTTGGAATCATGTTTTAAAGACAATTTTGTCTATTTTTTTTCTGTGAGGATTTTCCCAGGTCATTACATTCTTCCAAAACATAGGTTTTTAAAGCCTTCATGAGGTATCATAACACCTCCTATTTAAATAAAAATATTAGAGTTCACATGAAAAAATAAGAATAGCAAAGAAAATAAGAATCAGGCAGATGTCATTCAAGTTACTAAAATGGAATACAGAGTTACATAAGGCACACCATCCCAAGAATATATCAGTGAAATAAGATAGAAATTCCAGAAACAGACTGAAGTGTATGTGAAAGAACTCAGTAGTTAATAGAAGTAGCATTTGACATTAATGGGAAAAGCTTGGATTTTTCAAAAAAGCAGTGCTGGAATTACTTGTTCTCCATTTAGAAATAGAGCTTAACTCTTATCATCTTTAAACCTCTGGAAATGAAACCTGGCTGTAAGTAGTCATTGCAGAAGTAGATATGGAAGCATTTCTGAAATCCAGGGAGAGGAGAGAAGAATTGACTTTGAGAGCTACTTAACCAGGATAAAGCCAAAGACTGTTTTACCCTTTATAGAATAAGCAAGTGATAGCTTCCCAAAAGAGGTAAAATTCTTGGCCTTCTAGAGTGAAAGAAAGGAATCTAAAAGTCTGGAATAAAAATTTATTCTAGGGTAGATGATAGAAGCCCTGAATGTAACTTGAATATTTTGGAATTATCAAAATAGCATTGAGTAATCTGGAAAATGTAAGAAGGTACAGATTAAATATTAAAGTAAGAAGGGGTTACAGCCATTAAAAGTCACAAAGTAATTACTTTGAAAAAAAAATAGGAAATTTTTAGAAATAGAAATTACATATTCTGTCATGACTTGATGAGTTTGAAGAACCACCTAATCTTAAAAAGCTCCTAAGGAGGGGAGGAGGTATAGTGTAAAAGGACGGATGGGGGGCATAATTTCGGCACCGCTGTCAAAGATTTACTGATATGTACCCTAGAAAATAAATCAAATACAAAAATGGAATGACCAAAGGGAAAAAATGACCAGGAACCAGACCAAGTTAGACATAAACAGTACAAAGAGACCAAACTCAGGAGGTTGATCACAAAGGAATTAGGCAGAGTGAAATTAAATGGGTAATTCTTAAGTTTCCTAGAGTTTCTTAGGAATTCCATTTGATTAGCCATATGATGTGCCTAGCACAAGTGGGGCAAAGGTTTTTACCATCATATTATTGGGTTTTCTTCTAGCTCTTAAAATGTGCTTGGGAGAAGGAAGGAAGAACAATAGTTTAAAATTATAGCTTAGTTCAACATAAGGAATCTTAGTTTTTGCATTTTAGTTTTTGGCAGAAATGATAGATACCTAATTCACACTGTTAAATTTTAGATGGTCTGTCTTCTGCTGATCCCAGCTCTGATTGGAATGCACCAGCAGAAGAGTGGGGAAATTGGGTAGATGAAGAAAGAGCTTCACTTCTAAAGTCCCAGGAACCAATTCCTGATGATCAAAAAGTGAGTAAAGGCATTGGCGAGTATGTCTATTTCTCTGTGCACCCAACTATATTATAATTATTAGGGGTTACATTCTGTATTATAAATACATTCAGTGGTAGAATTGTTTCCAAGCCATTCTGATTTTATTTGCTTCAATCCTTATGCCTGCATGCCTTCTTTGTATCACTGTTTTCTCTTTCCACAAATTACCGAGGTTTCTGATATGTGGAAAGCACTATTAGGCACTGATAAGAAAACACAGTTCCTCTCCTCATCAGAATTAATAATACATGATATTATAATATATCGACTCTTAGTGTGTTTAGAGAAGAACAGATTGGTGGCCAATGAAAGATTTAGGAAGGCTTCATAGCAACAGACAAGACTGAGAACACCATGAAAAAGCCATCAAGGCAGGCAAATAGTAAATCATTTAGTGGAGAGGTAAATAATACACATGTGTGCAATCAGTTGATGAAAGGTACGTTCCTTCTAGACTATATGTTCCTTAAAGAAAGGGACCGTGAAGTTTTTATTTTTGAGCTTTAGCAACATGCTTGGCACTCAGTAAATAAATAAAAGGAATGATACATACCTTGCTACATTTTTGTAAAATTCTGTAAGTGATAATGTGTTGACAGCTTTTAAACTAGGAATAACCTAATTATCAGTAGGGTTAGGAAAATCTGGCTGGATGCAGTGGAAAGAAACCTTGGGAAGCTATTTTGTACTATTTTGGTGTAAGTGTTCAAGAGGTAATTACATGAATCGGGTAGGAGATAATGAACTAAATTGATAGCTTTGAAAAATAAGTGAAAGTGGTGTTTACTAGAGATACAAAACTGCTGATCAGACTGCGACTGGTTGGCTATAGGAATAAGGGTGAAAAGTCAAAGAGTCTCCGAAGATACTAGGGCCGTTAGTATTCAACAGCTACTAATTGAACATCTGCCATGAGTCAGGTATTGGTTAGTTGAGAAACATAAATAAGACACAGTTACTGCCTTCAAGGAGCCTATAGTCTGGCTAGGGGGGAGAGGAAGGAGACCAGCACATCAGCAGGTAAAAATCCTGTTATAGTAGGTCTTGAGGGTTAGGTAATCACTTGGGAGTTTTAGCAAAAGCATCCTAGAGGTAAAAGCAAAATGTGAAACAAAGAATAGTCAGAAATTGAACTAGAGAGGGAGGCAGGGACCAGATGATAGAAGTTCTTGAATGTCATATTTAAAACCATGGATTTTATCCTATAAGTAATGAAAGGATTTTAAGCTAGAGTGTTTTTTTCTACATGGGTTACACTGGCAGCCCATGTAGAAAAAGGAGTGGAGGCATATGTGAGAAAAGGCAGGAGGACCAGTTTAGAGGTTGCTTAGTAGTCCATGGCAGTAGTGGTAAGAATGGTACACGGAAAACAGAACAGACTTGAAAAATACATTGAAATAAAATCCACAGAACGTATGATTAGAATTGAATGTCATCAAAATCTCTTCAAAATGAAGTCATCAAAATGACTTCCAGGATTTTAGTTTGGATAACTGGGAAGGTGGAAGTAGTCCTCCCAACAGAAAAAATACAGCAGCAAAGGCTAGTTAATTGGGGGAAGGGTAGTTGGTTCCATTTAGGGTATGTTAAATGCAGAGCGTTTTGTTGAAATGCGTAAGAGAAGTCGGTTTTGTGCCAGGTTAAAGCTCAGGGAAAAGATCTATTGGGACATTATCAGTATCCGGTTATTAAACACTGTGAGAGTAGGTGAAATATTTAGGAAGAATCTGCATCTTGAGAGAGCTGTGGGATGAGCATAGGGATCTGGGAAACTCCCAACATTTAAGGAGAAAAAAACCTATGAAAGAGACTGAGAGAAGAGAGTTCTGGGTCACAGAGGCTGAGACTCCTGCTCCCTGGTAATTAAGAGCAGTTTTATTAGAAATCTTGAACCAAAAACCATATTGCAGTAAGCTGAGTAAATGGTTAGAAAAGCGTAGTAACAATTATAAGGTTTTTCTAAAGTAAGTTTGGATAGAAATGGAGGAGAGGTAGTGGATGAGAGCACACTGTAGTATCAGGAAGGGTTTTGTTGGGGGTGTTTGTGTGGTTTGGTGTGGTTTGGTTTTAATGATTTTATTTATTTATTTGACAGAGAGAGAGATCACAAGTAGGCAGAGAGGCAAGCAGGCAGAGAGAGAGGGAAGCAGGCTCCCTGCTGAGCAGAGAGCCCAATGTGGGGCTTGATCCCAGCACCCTGGGATCATGACCTGAGCCAAAGGCAGAGGCTTTAACCCACTGAGCCACCCAGGCACCTGGTGTTTGTGTTTTAATGATAGAGATTTTAGTGCAGGGTCGGTAGACTTTTTATTAAAGTTCCATCCAGTAGTGCAAAAGCAACCATAGACAATATGGAAATGAACTTTATTTGCAAAAACTGGCATCAGGCCAGATTTGTAGTTTGTCAACCCCTGCTTTAACTTACTTGTAGACACAGAGGGAAAGGATCTAGAATAAAGTAAAGGTTAAACATAAATGGGAGATTTGGTTAATAGAGTAAGATCCTGGCAGTAGAGGTGGGGGAAACTTGGACATGAGTGGATTGTGGGTTGGCCTTTAGTATAATAGAATGGTAGTACCTCTGATCTTTAGAGACCAGAGAAAGGAAGAGGTAGAAATGGGATTTATTGGGGCGCCTTGGTGGCTCAGTGGGTTAAAGCCCCTGCCTTTGGCTTAGGTCATGATCCCAGGGTCCTGGGATCGAGCCCCACATTGGGCTCTCTGCTCAGCAGGGAGCCTGCTTCTTCCTCTCTCTCTGCCTGCCTCTCTGCCTACTTGTGATCTCTATCTGTAAAATGAATAAATAAAATCTTTTAAAAAACACTTAAAAAAAAAAGAAATGGGATTTATTACTAAGGGTGTAAATAAGTGTAGAGGGGGATGTGATAGGTAATATGAAGGTTGAGGGGGTTAGGGAGAGAGAGAGAGATGAGTGGGTAGATCATGGAGGGTTTTTAGAGCAGTTAAACTTCTCTGTATAGACACTGTAATGATGAATGCATGTCATTATACGTTTTTCCCAAAGCTGTAGAATGTACAACACCAAGAGTGAACCCTAGGGTAAACTCCAGAGGCTTTGAGTGATAATTGTGTGTCAGTGTAGACTCATCAGTTGTAACAAATGTACCACTCTGGGGAGGGATAGTGATAGTGGGAGAAGCTGTGCTTGTGTGGGGGTAGGAAGTATATGGAAATCTCTGCCTTCTGCTCAGTTTTGCCATGAACCTAAAATTGCTCTAGAAAATAAAGTCTCTTAGGAAAGAAAAGCTTCCTGGTACAGTATCTTAACACACAGTAATCATTCTGATATTTGTTGAATGTTTAGTGAATGTGCAACCAAAAATCTGTTTCTCTAATTAAAACTTCCTTATGCCCAATCATCAGAATTACAGAGTAGAATCAGTGAATGGAGTAAAGACTGTTACATATCATTGCAGTTCTTTTTCTGAGAGGATATTCAGAGATAATCTTTCATTTTTCTTAGCAAAAATGGGGCACCATCTAAATGCCCATCAGTAAAGGAATGGAGAAATAAAATGGGATAGGTTTGTACAGTTGCATATTAGATGTTAAAAATCAATTAAATAAGTTACATTAATATCAACATGAATAGAATCTCAAAAACGTGGAATGATGGACAGGTTTACAGAGAGGTGTACAGTATGATACCATTTATATATTTTGTATGTGTGAACACACAAGAATTTGTAAAAAGAAACAAGTGGATGGACACAAAAGAAGTTTATGGTAATGGTTTATTTCTAGGGGAGATGGTGTGGAAATGGGAATTGGGAAGGGGTGCAAAGGAATTTTAAGTTTATCAGTAATATTTAATAATCTAAAATATATGTGGCAAGGGGCACCTGGGTGGCTCAGTGGGTTAAAGCCTCTGCCTTCAACTCGGGTCATGGTCTTAGGGTCCTGGGGTCGAGCCCCGCATCGGGCTCTCTGCTCAGCGGGGAGCCTGCTTCCCCCTCTCTCTCTGCCTGCCTCTCTGCATACTTGTGATCTCTGTCAAAAAAAATAAATAAAATCTTTAAAATAAAATAAAATAAATGTGGCAAAATGTCTGTTCTATTGTGTGAGTTAAAATATGGTGTGGAGTTGATTTCAGCCTTCTTCCCCATGAGCAAAAATAGTGTTTTGCCATTAGGAACTACATTTCTCTTACAGTTGGATGCTAATTGGCTGAGAAACAGACCGACCAGAGTCCTTGTGACCTGAATATTCCTTATAGGATGCATTTTTTCACATGGTATCTTAATCACTATGAGCTTATGGTGAAACTTCTATGGAAGTTTCTCCACAACTGGCAACCAACTTGTACTAAACATCTCTTAGCTAAGTTTGTATAAGATTTTGTTTTTCCATCTGCTAGTAATTTCTGTGAACTATTTGGTGGTTCACAAGACCTCCAGAGTCATCCTAATGACTATGCTGCTGAGCAGAGAAATTGTAGTTACCCCATTATTTCGTCCTAGAAGGATAGGCTGGGAATCTTGGCTGTCATCTGTGCAGAAGAAACAAAAAGCATTTTTTTCATAGAAAAGTCCAACTATATGGTATGTGTAAAGGGCTGTCATGAATACTAATTAAACTGGTCTAATTCACTGCTTTTGTCATGCGGCATGTTACTTTCAGTGACTTTCCATCTCAAGTTCGATTTTTTTTTTAATTAAGCCTTTTATTTTGAGGTAACTGTAGAGTGACAGGCACTTGTGAAAAATGATACAGAGAGATCCCCTGTGCTCTTTATCCAGTGTCCCCCAGGTGGTAACATCTTGAAGAACTTCAGTACAGTATTAGAACTAGGATATTGACATTAATGCAATCAAGGTACAAAAAACATTCCCATCCTGCAAGGACCCCTCATGTTGCCCTTTTTTATAGCCATCCTTTCTTTCCTCCTGTCGCCAACCCCCTGGTAACCCCTGGCAACCAGTAATCTGTTTCCATCTGTATAATTTTATCATTTCAGGAATGTTCTATGAATAGAATAATACAGCATGTAACCTTTTCATACTGTTATTTTTTTCACTCAGCATAATTTTCTAGACACTCATCTAGACACGCATCTAGACTGTTGTGTGCATCATGAGTTGGTTCTTTTTTACTTCTTTTTTACTGCTTCTTTTTTACTTTGTGGTGGGATACACCTCATTTAACCATTCTGTTGAAGGACATCAGGATTGTTCTTAGCTTGGGGCTATTGTGAATAAAGCTGCTGTATACATTTGTGTACACGTTTTGGTGTGAACATAAGTGTTCATTTTTCTGGGATAAGTAGCTAGGAGTACAGTCCCTGGGTTGTGTAATAGCTGCATATTTAGTGTATTTAAAAACTGCCAAACTGTTTCCTAGAGTGGTTGTATCCCTTCACATTCCTGTTTACAACGAATGTGTGATCCTATTTCTCTGAATCCTTGCCAGCAGTTGCTTGTCGCTGTTTTTTATTTGAGGTGTTGATAGGTGTGTAGTGAACTCATTGTGATTTTAATTTGCATTTCCCTAATGCCTGAACCATCTTTCCATGTGCTCCTTTGCCACCTGTCTGTCCTCTTTTCATGAAATGTCTGTTCGTATCTTTTACACATTTTCTAATTGGATTGTTTGTTTACTATTGAGTTTTCAGTGTTCTTTAGGTACTCTTAGACACAAGTCCTTCGTTGGATATATGGTTTGCAAATATTTTCTCCCATTTGGTAGCTTGTCATTCTCTTAACAGGGTTAAATTCAGTTTTATTGCAAATAGTTCTGCATTTAAACTCTGAAATAAAACAGTCACTTATCCAATGAGTTTTTAAAAACCAAGTCTTGCACAGCTCTCTAATTTACTGTGCAGGGAGGGATGAAAGATGTAAGGGAAAAAAGTGGTCTATCATAGACAATAGGACAATGAAGTTCCATCTACTTTGTTCTTTTTAAATATGTAATTTTAGATTCATTTTATCATTTTATCATTAGATTCATAAGAATTATACAGTACTAATTCTTACTTAGCGTTTGGGAGATAAAGACTGAGCCTAATGAATGAAATTATGCCATAATTTGTGAATAATGAAAACTAAACCAATTGGTTCACTTGAATACTTTCGCTTTTAACATCAGGTTTCAGATGATGATAAAGAAAAGGGAGAGGGAGCTCTTCCAACTGGGAAATCTAAAAAGAAAAAAAAGAAAAAGAAGAAGCAAGGCGAAGATAACTCTCCTGCACAGGTACAGTATCAAAACGACAGGTATCATTCGCTAAGCACCTACTGCTCAAATGTGAAAAGGTAATATGTAGATACTGAGACTGTGTAGATGAAAGACACAATATAGGAGATAGGTTTACTCGCGTAGCATTCAAAAAGTCACAGAATGTTTTAAAGATTTTTTTGTATCCTATTGTAATAATAACAGTATTGCTCTAAAAAAATCATACCAAAGGTGTAAACCCAAAAGTAATAAATTAAATTAGATGCATTTTGGTTTATATTAAGGTGAAATGGAAAAAAGGTACAATATTTCTCACATACAGAAATGCCTTTTGAAAAACAAATTTAGCAAGTTAGAATTTTAGCCCAGTATAGCCATGTGGGTCACAAGTGGAGTGTCACTTACTCTGAGTTTGCTCTCCATTTTTAGCATCTTAGAATCTTCTGCTTGTTTGGCTTCTGACAGAAACTTTCAACATATGTTACTCCTCCATTTTCCTTCTTTTTTTTTTTTTTTCATGGCTCTTTCCTATTGGGAAATTTTTTTAATTACAGTATAGATGGAAACAAAGCTATTTTAATTGGAAATACTAGATGACTAGAAGTATGCATGGGTTTCTCTTTGAAAGCAGCATCACCATTACATTACAAATTAGGAAAATCTTATTCCTTAGCTATAGCCATGTGGCTAGTTGTTTTTATTCCTTTAAATGTAGGAGATAGCCAGAGTTCCTAGAGGACAGCCTACAGAGTAATTTTCCTATTTATTGTTCTCTTCGGGAAAAGTTGCTGCATAAGACTTTTTAAAGAAATACACATTGCATTCATTTTTTGTTGAGGGAAGCACAGCCCCTCGTAAGTGACACTAATCCATTTTCAGTACTAGTTGTTTCTCACGGTAATAGTTGGGTGTTAAGGTTAACGTAACTGAGACCAATGGATGTGAAAATCTAAAACTATGTATGTAATAAGGGCGCTTGTTAGGGGAGCTAGCTGATGAGAACTGTTGACAGTTGTCTTTTGTTGGTCGTACTGTCTGAGCTCTGTTTAGCCAAACCCTTCCTGGACTTCTGTGACTTAAATTACAGCCTTTACTAAGACTACTTTCTGGTTTGTGGATTAGGTGAGTTCCTTTTAAAAGCAATTTTGTGGGATAGATGTCATCTATATATTTCAACCTACTGGCAAAGGTCATTAACTTGTGAAAGTTCTTTCAGTATTCTAATACTCCTTTTAAAAATGTTTGATATGTTTTTAAAAATAACGGTGAGGGGGCACGTGGGTGGATCAGTCATTAAGCGTCTGCCTTTGGCTTAGGTCATGATCCCAAGGTCCTGGGATCGAGCCCCACATCAGGCTCCCTGCTTCGCGGGGGGCCCACTTCTCCCTCTGCCACTCCCCCTGCTTGTGTTCCCTCTCTCACTGTGTCTCTCTCTGTCTAAATAAAATAATAAAACCTTAAAAAAATAACAGTGAGTATGGGGCACCTGGGTGGCACAGCTGGGTTAAGCATCTGACTCTTGGTTTTGGCTTCTGTATAATCTCAGGTCACGAGATTGAGTTCCACATCCGGCTCTCTGCCAAGTCTGCTTGGAAACTCTCTCTTCCTCTCCCCTTCCCTCCCTCTCTCTTTCTCTCAAATCAATAAATCTTTTAAATAAATAACAGTAGATATACAGGCTTTGGAGTCAGATCTCCATTCAAATTCAGTTTTGCCATTTACTAGTTGTTTTTATTCGTTTGTTTTTCTTTGCACAAGTGGCTTAACTGTGGAGGTTGCTTAGAGAATTAAATGAGACATCATGAAATTCTGTTGTCAGGTTCATAGAACATAGTATCCTATCTGTAATACATTTGGGAATTTGTTCTTTTTATTTTTATTTTACTTTTTTTAAGATTGTATTTATTTATTTGACAGAGAGAGAGTCATCACAGATAAGCAGAGAGGTAGGCGGGCGGGGGGGGGGGTTGTTGACGAGCAGGCTCCCCGCTGAGCAGAGAGCCCCATGCGGGCATAGAAACCAGGACTCTGAAATCATGACCCGAGCCGAAGGCAGAGGCTTAACCCACTGAGCCCCCAGGCGCCCGGGAATTTGTTCTTTTTAGTTGAGGATGCATGGTTGGTGGGCGTCTTTACTGTTCAAGTATAGCTTAGTTTAAAAACTGACTGATGTCCTCACATTAATTTTGTACAGATTGCAAATCTTACATACGTGCTTCCAGAGCTACTCATTCCATTTAAATTCACAATAAAATTTCCGTTACTGTTTAAACCCACTACCATCCTGAACAAGTTTTATAAACTACCAGTACTGGCTAAAGACTTTCAAGCTCATCCCAGCCAATTGTTCATGTGTGTGTGTTGACTAAAGAACGATACAACGAGCAATGATGGTCCTGTTTAATATATTGTAGTTCATATTTGTTTCACATACCTAAGCATGTAACATGCTTTATAATTGCTTTGTTGAAACTTTTTATTTTAAGTCCGAAGGCCTTGGGACACCTGGGTGGCTCAGTAGGTTAAGTGTCTGGCTGCAGCTCAGGTCATGATCCCAGGGTCGTGGGATGGGAGCCTGCTTCTCCCTCTCCCTCTGCCGCTCCCCCTGCTTGTGTTCTCTGTGTGTGTGTGTCTCTCTCTCCCCCTCTCTCTCTCTCGGTGTTAAATAAATAAGTAAAATCTTTTAAAAAATAAGTCTGAAGGCCTAAGAATGGAAATGGTAAAGCTTGGATAGGACCTTAGAAATTATCTAGGCACATTTTATTTTATAGTTGAGGGAAGAAATTAAGGTTCAGGGAACTGAAATGATTTGTCCTTGACAGTACACAGCTACAGCAGCCCAGAACTGAAATGTACTTTCTGCCATGTCAGCCTCATTTATCTACAGATTATACTTATGTACAAATATTTTGTTCCTTGAAGAAGTCATTAGGTGAAATGTTATTTCTAAAGTCTTAGTTCAAGTATCCCCTAATTCACTGTATATTTTGTCTAAAAGAAAAAAATTCTCGTTTATTTTGAGTTGGTTTAGTAAATTAAAATGGTTTACATTTGGGGATGGGAGTGTATTGGTTTTTAATTCCCAATTGATTTAAGTCCCTGGGGAGGGCAGGAATGATCACTGTTGTTCCAGATGTGCCTGTGTATTTTAAATCTTTAAATGATTGTTGTTATATGCTCTGTTAAACTGTTTGGACAGTTACTGAAGTGAAATTAGTTTCTTGAAATATCTTCTGCACATTAATACTACAAACCAAATCGATTTTTAATTAGTAAAAAAGAGTAATTTATATCATATAATAGACTACTTTTCTCCGTAGGACACAGAATTAGAAAAAGAGATTAGAGAAGAGCTTCCAATGAATACCTCTAAAGTCCGTCCAAAACAGGAAAAAACTTTTTCTTTGAAGACCATAAGCACTAGTGATCCAGCTGAAGCACTCATCAAAAATAGCCAGGTGATTTTTTGGTATTTAAGGAATAAAATTTTGATGAGAATTGTGCCCTAACTCCTTTATTTTATCAGAGCGCTAAGTGCTAAACATTGCTAATCGCTAATAAAGTGCTGAGCATTTTAAATACACTAATTTAACCCTCATAACAACCCCATGAGAAAAGTAAGATCTATCATATAAATGAGGTTGGAGAACTTAAATAACTTGTCCCAAGCTGCGTAACTATCAGTGGTGAAACCAGACCTACTAGACTGTATTTTCTCTTATTAAATACCTAAACATACAGGGGATAGATTGCTTAGAGAAAATGTCACTGATTGCATTTTCCTGAAATCCAGCCTCTCAAGTGTAACATTTGTTTAAAATTTGGTGACAGGTTCTTGAAGTATGTGCCATTGGTAAAAAATTTTGATGTGTCAGGAAGGACCATTTTACAAAAGGTCTAGGCCAGTGATACATAGTTCTTTAAAATCTAATTTCTAAAAAGGTAAATTGCACAGAAATCTATGAAATCCTGCTAGTTACATGGTTCATTTATATGCTCATTCAAAAAAATGTAGAGAACCCACTACATGCCACACAGTAATTGAGGTTTTGAGGTGGTATCAGAGATCAAAGCAGATGAAAACAGTCTCTGCCTTTGTGGAGTGCACATATTTAATGAAACAGCTTCAGACCGGCACCTGAGTTACAGGAGCGTCTGGCTGACTCCATTGGTAAACCATATGACTCTTGATCTCGGGATTGTGAGTTCAAGTCCCACAGTGGGTGTGGAGCTTACTTAAAAATAAAATCTTAAAAAAAATAATAATAAAAAGAACCTGAGTTACTAAATGAAGTAATTGGTAACAGTCTTGTGCTAAAATAAAATCTTAACCATGCTTCCTATTTGTTTTTTATGCTTTTAATTCCCTAAGAGAAGAGTTCCCTTTTGAGATGTAAGGATGTGGTCTCAGTACATGCATAGGTTTAATTGTAGGGCGACAAAGGGTCATTTGACATTTTGATGTTTTATTTATCAAAGTAAGTCGTTTTCAGAAGCCGTTTTGTAAAGACTGTTTTGAGTCCTTCTGTGATTTAACATAGATTAAGTGAAAGAATAGAGGGGAGAATACTGGAAATAAATACTAAAACTTTTGGTATGAAATAAATATAGAGAGCACTAAGAAAGCTGAACCGAGCGAGACACATGGAGCTTCAGGATACCTGAAATAGAAGGAAGGAATCCTTGTAATTACTTGCATGCACACAGTTTCCTCCTCTCAGTTCATTTTCCATTGAGCTTTCTTACACCCAGAGAGCCTGAAGGAACAAAGGGCAAGAGAAACATCACTTACCCTTGTTTACATATTCAATATGATGATAAGTAAGGCTAAGGATGAATTGATCTCCTCTTCTGTTACTACCTCAAGGCACTCCCAAAGACTAGAGTTTCCATCCTTACCTCTCCTGACCATGCACTCACAAGCCTCATGGAGGCCTTTCTGAAAGCTTCCAGGTTGGAGAGGAGAAGCAGGGCATAAAGTCTAGGCCCTCCGCAACATGATTTCACTACCAGACTAGATAAAACTCTGAAAATCTGGACCCAAGTTTTACTGCTTCCTTTAATGGTAGTAGCCATAGTTTTGTCTGAGACCATCACTTTCCATGGGTAGGAAATGGAAGCAGTTGCTGCCCTGTTTGAGTTTGCCTTTCCTTTCTAAAAGCAGAGAAGGAAGCATCATCTACTGGTAGTTCAGAAATTAGCTTTTTTTCTTTTTGTCTTCCACATGAAAAAGTTTTGAGGAATTAAGAGTTGGTAAGAAGTGCACAAAACATTGAATCACTAAAATATATAAAATCGTTCTATTTGTAATGAAAAAGAAAAATGTAAAGGTTCATGAAAATGGAATTATTCATTCCTGTTTGAGATTCTGTAAACATTTTTAATTTTACACTTTCATCCATTTTTATCGCAACTTAACATTGATGGCAATTGTAGGTAAAGATTTATTTGTTTATGCCACTAGAGGGCAGGCACGAGTTGTAGTGCTTCCGCTGGTGAATTATTTGGAAACAGTTTAGTGTTTACTTGTTCCTGTGATATTTAATTTTATTTGAAACTTTTTACAAAAGAACTGAAGATAATATTATTCCAAAATAGCCTATCAAGACTCTTCCACCTGCTATTCCTACCGAGCCATCTGTTATTTTATCAAAAAGTGATTCTGACAAGAGCTCTTCCCAAGTGCCACCGATACTACAAGAGACAGATAAATCCAAGTCAAATACTAAGCAAAATAGTGTGCCTCCTTCACAGAGTAAGTAATCCTCACTTCTGGTTCTTTTGTATGTTTTTGTACTGTTTGTAAGCCTTAATATCTTAGAAGTCTGAAATATTTAGATTTTTGATCTTAGAAGTCTGATCGATTAGTAGTGCTCTTTGGCAAAGGCTAGAATCCCTGGAACCTTATGGACTTCAGCTGTGAGGGCCAGGAGACTGAAATCACTCTAAGCAAGAGGGGGTGGCCAGGGACAGAGATGGCAGAGGATTTGCTAGATCCTTTGTCCATTTGGTCCCTCCCTTTCCCCATGCGCATGTTCTTGAGATTGTGAATGGTTCTCTGCCCTTTTTTTCCCTCCTTTTCCCCCTTCAGCTACCTGCAGTGTCCATTTTGCCCACTTTTCGTTTTTATTACTTAGATTGAGCCATATTAATGATGGGTTTTTTAGATCAAAACCAGTGAGATATCTTCCATGTGATGAACCAGTAGAATACATTGGGATTCAAAGGAAAAGAGGATGGCAGCCATAGAGTAACCTACGAAACATGTCTCTGGAACTTGAAAACTTAAACATAAAGGTTGAAGCATTCTTAATGGATTTCAAAGCACGTTTTCATTGATGCTGCTTTTGTATTTTTGAGACATAATAGTATTTACTACTGTTTTTTCTTTGTTTTTGTCCCTTTAGCCAAGTCTGAAACTAGCTGGGAATCTCCCAAACAAATAAAAAAGAAGAAAAAAGCCAGACGGGAAACGTGAATATATTTTTCCTGAATTGGACATGTGTTTGCAAACACTGTCTGGAAGATTATGCTGTTTATGCAATAATTTGTGAACATGTACAGAGTTTTATATAAATTTAAACCAATTTTTAAAACAAAACTGTGAACACAACCACCGTAAAAATGGAATCAAAGGAAAGTTAATTTATGAAATTCAGAGGTCAGCAGAATATACTCCAGTGCTGGAAGACACTTGGGGAAAGTCTTTTCAATTGAACAAGAACGATCTTAATTTAAAAATCCTATCCTGGTTTTACAGCAGTGCCCTGTTTACAACAGCTTGTGCCCTGTCTCATCTGCAGCTGAGGAATAAAGGATTCTAATTAGAGAGAGGGCTGCCTGCGGGTGCGTAGGCAGCATCTGCGATCTTATGCACGAAACTTAACCATTTGAATCTGTTTTATGCTTAAAGTGCTTTGATCAAGTGCATAATCTGCCATATCTTTACATGTATGTTGGTAGCGGTTTGTATTAAAGGAATCACAAGTGCAAATAAAAGGTCATTTATCATTTGTTAACTAAACTCATGGTTTAGTTTACAATTTTTAAAAAGTTCTTAATTAAAACATTGAACATGCAGTTGATGCTTGTATGGCTTATGAAGTTATTTTTGATAGTCTTACATTACTTGAATTGTTCAAAGTTCAGTATATTTTAAATTAAGAAAGGTAAACTATATGTATTTGTTTTATACTTTGAAGGTTCAGACTCACAAATAATGCTCTTGTTTAGAATTTGGAAACTTTCAGGCCAAGTCCAACTTAACATTTCTCCCTTTCCCTAGCAGTTTCTTTTTTCCAGCATCAACTCTTCTCTTCATTGCTAATACTTCAACTTTAAAAATGAAACCTTTCACAAATTAGTCATACAGACAGAACTTTGAGTATATGATGGAGAATGAAAAACTAGAGTCAGACAGCTTTAATTGACATTGTCAAGACCTCCAGTTATCAGGAATACATTTTTTTACTGCCTTAACCTATAGTGCGTAGAATATGCATCAATTTCTTGAGGGGGATTCGTGTTTTTATAAGAATTTTCATGTAATTATTGCAATCGTGGTCAAATAAGGAACGTTTTCTGCTTGAAACTATTGATTTAAATGACGTGCGAGATGTTTCACCATTTTCAGGCACTGTGTAATTCTATTGTAATAAACTGGCAGGTATCTTTGTAACTATAAATAGTGCATGCTCAGCCATGTACACTGTAAATAGCCTTTACCAAACGTGTTTGACAAGGACCATAATTAACATCACTTAGTGAATTGTGATAAAGAAAAAAAGCCATGATTTATTTGATGTGATTGGCTTGTTTTTACGTGGCGCCAAGAATGAAACTGTTGAACAGCTGTAACCAATGGTACTGATCTGTCCATCCAATCTTGTCTTTATTAGATCTGATTGTGGTTTGATAGTATTGCATCGTCACACTAGGAAAGCTGAAGAAACACAATGGTTTTAGTAACTGCTGAAGACTGGCCTTATTAATGGACAGCTTTCCTAATAAGCGATTAGTAACTTCTATCAGGTGTTACCATCTGTTTCAGGAACAGGGCAGTATGTTTACATGTCCGAAGTCTTGTTTCATTCTATGAGATTTCTAAATTGATTTGTTTAAATAAATTCAGCAAACGGATAGCATTGTGTTTATTTGCTTCAATATTGGGGTAAATAAGCTCAACTGCCAGGAATTCATTTCTTCAAATGACTTTATTCTGTGAGCTTTACGTAGATACTTCCTAACTAGATCCAAGGATTCCTGAAGTTGCCCGCACTTTGTAAAGGTGTCTCAGAGGAAAATTTGAGAAGGAGTCTGTATAATTTTAGAATGTGCCAAAAGATCTATGCTCAGAAAAATCAGTTGAACTCTCTCAACTCTACCTCACCATTTCTTTGTCTTAGAATTTTGTTGGCTGTGTCAAACGTTGGACTTCATTTCTTTGGCTTCGTACCTCCCCGACAGCCACCTACAGCGGGTGTTAGAGGCACTGTCTTGTGAGGAGAGAGCTGGTGTGGAGATGGAGAAGGGCGTGGCCAAACGGGTGCATCCATGTGGAGATGCTGCTGGCTCTCCTCTCCGGCTCCAGAGCGAGGACATGAATTTTATGTTTTAAGAGATGGCAGCTATGAGTGAGAAAAGGAATTTTCTTTCAGGTGCATGAGATGAAAACTCTTGCACAATTAAAGTATCATTGTTCATTGCTCTTTACCTGTTCCAGATCTTTATATGGCATTAAATCAGTTTCTGGGTCTGAACACAGGAACTGTTCTCCATCGTCCACTTCAAAAGGCACCAAAATGAAGGTAACGAACGATTCAGGGAGGAGGGGGAGAGGGAGGAGCCTATTGTTCTTTGGTGACTTACATTAGATGCTTCCCACGCCTGTCTGTAGGGAGCTAACTGATCCCTTCAGGCTTTGTGAGGCCTGAAGGGGAACCTTGTACTGATTAGCAAAGGAGGCCTCCTCAGAGAACCTGCTTAGAAATCTCCCTAATCCTGACCTGTCTCTGCATGCTTACTGAAAATCCTTCCCTATTCTGGAGCGGGTGGGGGGGGGGGTGTTAGGATTTTCCTGGACTAGAATCCTACCTATCTGTACCCCAGACTGAGCAAAACAATAGTTGAGAGAGTCCAAAAAAAAAAAAAAGTGTTGAAATAAAATGTCGTTAATGTAATTTACCATGTTTACTTTGTGCATGCATTTTGGGGGTGGGGGAGCAGTGGAAATAATTTATCCAAATCTAATGGTATTATTTCACGAGCTAATCCAGTTTGTATTTGGGTTAAAAATAATTGAAGGGCAATATTTAACTACAGAGTTTAGTTTTTCTTAATAAAAAACAGTCTTCTATTAATGTGTGAAATATCTTTCAAAATTGAGAATTTAGGTGTAAGATGTCTAAGAGATGTCTTAAGACTTTTCTGTAAACTCATTGCACAAACTGGAATTACTTTCCAAAAGACTTAGGGAATGCAAATATGTTATTTGTAAAATGCATTGAGTATTGTAAATAAAAAAATCATTTCTGTTTTGTTTAAATTGCTCGTTATAGTTCTCTTATGGGAAGGGACTTCAGTCATTTTGCATCTTAAGCTAGTCTAAAGGCAATTAGTTTGTGATGTTCTTGATGCTTCTTTCGAAAACCATAGATGCATTTGCAGGCTTTACCAATGGGAAGTCATTTGGAGTTCAACACCTTGTACAATAGCCATTTGTGATGCATGATGTTCTCCGTGGGAACCTGCTTCCACTTGACGTCATCTTAGCAGCGGACAGAACCGCCACCAGGTGCAGTGTTTAACTTGCATCAGCTTTTTAGGTTAAAGAAATGAGACTCAAATCTGGCACTATTTATTAGTGTCCCCAAACAGTAGTGACTTAAACAAGATAGAAGTTTTATTTCTTGTGCGGGTAAAAGTCGGGAAGGTGGTCTGGGGCTGCTCCAGTACTGCAGGGTCGGGAATCCAGGTCCTCTGGACCGCCGTCCTCCCTCCCCACGCTCAACACACGGCTTCTATGCCGAGGTTGCAGACAGTTAGCTGCTCAGCGGGAAATCTGTTGGCATTTCTGGCCCCTGCCTCTAAGAACACTTTTCAACTCAAACTTAGTCATGTGATCTTACTAACTATAAAGAGAACAGGAAATCATAGTCTTTATTCTGGCTGTCGTGGGCCAGTGAGTCCTGAAACCAGGATTCGGTGTGGAAGAAGCAGTGGGGTGGACAGTGAGCCCAGCTGGCGGTCCCCTTCGCAGGGTTGGACGTTTGCTTCGTTTACTCTGCACCCAGGCGTCCTTTCTTGAGGTCAGGTTTTAGTGTTCCCAACAAAGCAGAAATTTTGAAATCTCAAGATAGTGCTCAAGAGCAGCAGCGAGGAATGTTCAGACTTACATGTGATACAGCCTTCTGGAAGAAATCCCTGCCATCCCATGGACTGCTTTAAACTAGAGACAGGCTGACAGAAACTCAGTAGCCTGCTATCATGCCTGTACTGCAAGTATCGGTTACAAGTTTCCATAGAAAAATTGCCCTACTGTATAATCTTTAAAAAATAAGCCTTACGATTCTTTCTCAATGCTCTAATAGGAGAAGGATTTCTAACTTCAGCATCAAGACAGGAAGTACATTGTGACATGTTTGCTGACTATTAGTAGTTAACAGTACTAAGATTATGAATAGGCTAACTGAAGAAAAATTTCAGCAGATTCAAGGTCTTCCCCATGATAATGGCATTCTTACTTGTATATGTATGCTTTTTTTTATTTATTGTATCAAAGCATTCAAAATGAATATATGTAACATGTACATAAGTTATAAAGCATAATAAAATGAACACCTCTGAAACCACCATTCTGGTTAAGAACTAGAACCTTACCAGCAGAGGGGATATCGGGGGTGAGCCTGACTTTTGCTGTTGTTCACTTAATAGGGTCAAGGGTGGGGGGGGCAAGACAAGGCATTGATGAAGATGGGCGCTCTCTGGTGCCCTAAGCTGGCCCTGGTCCTTTCCCGTGCCCAAACTAGCTGCGGGTGCAGGTAACTTCTAGCCTGTCTGGGAAGGGAGTCACGGCCTCGCTGGCGCCCCTTCCTCAAGTAGTTCCGCGGCCATCTGCTGGGAAATTGTTGTAGTAAATACATGCAGGCACAATGACTGAATGTGAATGGCTCCCCCCAGAGCTGTGTTGTGCGCATGCTCCACAGCAGCCTTCCATGAGGAAGGAGGGTAGCAGGGCTCTAGCTAGCAGGAGCTCCTCCTCCCCACCCCACCCCGGAAGTCAGAAGAGCAGCTGTGGCCCCATTCAGAGCGCAGATTCCTTATGAAGTTTCTTGAGGCGCTGCCGATTCTAACAAACACCACAAAAGGGGTTTCTGGCAAAACAGCAGGAGCTGTGAGTAACTTAAGATAGTGTAATTATGAATGATTTGTCTTTGAAACTGTATAATAACTTACTAAAATACAGGATTACCTGGAGATACTGCAACTATTCCCATCAAAATTTCTCATCAAAATTGAAATGATCACAGTAACATGAGATGGAAGTGGAAGTGGAAAGGGGGACACCCAAATGCCAAAACCTTGGGGGCATTTCTGTTACTAGCAAACAAAAGCCAATAATTTATCAACAGAATGAAACACTGTTAGTGTGTGAAAGATGCCAGGTGTGGGCTGATATCAGGAAATCCAGTAACACATTTCATTCCATCACAAACCTAGAGCAGAAAAAGCCTATGATCATGACACTGCTGAAGAAATACTTTCACAAAATCCAGTAGCCATTCCCAAATTAGATTTAAAAAACAAAAACAAAAGGGAAATACTAAAGTCATCTCAATTGAAATCAGAGCAAAGCAGGGTTACCTGCTAGCCAAGATTGAGCGGTATTAACAGATTATTAACAAAATTATTTTTTAATATTATTTATTTATTTGACAGAGATCACAAGTGGGCAGGGGGGGGCAGGCAGAGAGTGGGGGCTGGGGCAGGCTCCCTGCTGAGCAGAGAGCCTGATGTGGGCCTCAATCCCAGGACCCTGGGATCATGATCTGAGCCGAAGGCAGAGGCTCAACCCACTGAGCCACCCAGGTGTCCCTATTAAAATTATTAATAGAAAATTTTAAAACTGGCCTAATGTCAGAAGAGAAGAAGTATTTATTCCTGATTGTACACCAGCAAAGCTCAAGAGATTTTAATAAAAAGCTATAACCACTAGGAAAAGAGTACGCTCAAAAGGCAGATATACAAAAACCAACAGAATTTTCTGTACTAGACTAAGCATCTAGAGTAGAAAGTGGGAAAAAATTCAATTACATCACATCTAGAAGCATCATATTTAATAAAATTTTCAAGAAAGATATAAGACCAAATGGAAACTATAAAGTCTTTCAAAAAAGGACAGATAATCTAACAAATGAAAAGCATAGTATTAAATGCATCTGAAGGAAAAAGAAAGGTGGGCCCAGCAAGGCTTCGATGTGCCAGCAGAATTTGTTCTAGAACAGTACTGAATAAGACCATGTTCCACTTAGTTTACTGGGATTCCTGGAACTACAACAAGCCTGACTTGGCTGCTCAAAAAAATATTTGTTCAGTGACCACGTGAATAAACAGATCCGTATTTAGCGTGTTGCCTGTTTTCTAAAGAAGGTGGGCTGAACTGAAGATTGTCGCCGTGTGTCCCTGTGCTCCCGCGAACAGTCAAGAAGCAGCACTTTCCTCCTGCGGCACAAAGTGTCTCCAAGGCTCAGGGTCCTGTGTTAGGAACAGGGATGCCACAGTCACCTGAGCTTCGAGACAGATAATTGCTCGTCCCAACCTGGATGACAAACAACAGGCAGGTGATGGTGGACAAGGGGACAGCGGCCCCCACCGGAGAAGCGCAGAGCGCCAGGGGAGCCAACAGTAAGCCCAGGTTTAGTTTGAAAAGAAACCGCGAAATCCTTTTCCAGAGTGTCTGTCCCATTTTACATTCCCACAGTAGCAGAGGGAGCAGCAGGCGGAAGGAGATGCCAGACTCCCCCCTGAGCAAGGAGCTCGATGCAGGACTCTATCCCAGGACCTGCGCTAAAGGCAAACCTTTAACGGACTTAGCCACCCTGGCGTCCCAGCAACACCATTTGATAGTGTCATTTTTTTACAC